ATTTCAGGATCCTCACCCAACGATTACGTAAGATACAGGGGTGTTTCCATTAGAAGTGGGTCACACTGTATATCCCGGAAAAAAGTAGATTTCAAACTTTTTTCCCGTTACAGAAAAAAAGTTTATTATTCATGAAGGTTCAAATTTCAATTTCTCCTCATCGAAATTCATCGAAAAAAGGGTGTACCATCTTATTACACCGGTTATACAGTGTGTCCCACTTACCATGCTCACCATGGGTATCTTTTTAACGGTGAGAGATACGAGGTCGGCAGAATGACATCAAATGTGGAGAGTTTGTAAAGGCCAACTATAATATGAAGAAATATTTTGATGAAATCTATTCGTTTTTGTTTTATACGCAAAAAACAGATTTTGATCGTTTTCATGTCTCCTCCGTAACTTCTTTATTTATGAAAATATCCAAATAGGAATTTCACATTCTCATGGCAGTTTTTCGAAGTGATTTCGAAAAAAATATGAAATTTATACCAACTCTTCTAGAATTTGAGATATCAGCACCAACTTTAGTTTTTCAAATGTAGGTCATAGCTCACTATGACTTAGTTACAAATAACTTTTTTTTCTCTCACAGATGATATGTCGCATTGAATTATTAAATTAAAAAAAAATGGCTGCTCCAAGATGGCGGACAAAATTTGGTCCGATTCCATTCAAAATTGGTAAGTGGGGGTGTTTGAGGTCGGAGATCATGATTTTTCTGTTGAAATTTATGAATTCAAGATGACGGCTTTCAAATAATTTTTTGTTTTTGTATAAATGACGATAACTCCGTTGTTATCAACACAAAACTATTACTGTGACATATCATCTGTAAGAGAAGAAAAAGTTATTTGTAACTAAGTCATAGTGAGCTATGACCTACATTTGAATAACTAAAGTTGGTGCTGATATCTCAAATTCTAGAAGAGTTGCTATAAATTTCATATTTTGTTCGAAATCACTTCGAAAAACTGCCATGAGAATGTGAAATTCCTATTTGAATGTTTCATAAATAAAGAAGTTACGGAGGAGACATGAAAATGATCAAAATTTGTTTTTTGCGTATAAAACAGAAACGAATAGATATTATCAAAATATCTTTTCACATTATAGTTGGCCTTGACAAACTCCACATTTGGTGTCATTTAACCTACCTTGTATCTGTCACCGTTAAAAAGATACCCATGGTGAGCATGGTAAGTGGGACACACTGTACAATGCGAGTTTCATAATCTGAAAGAGCTGCAATGTGGTTAATAAGCACATTTCGTGGAAATAATCGTTCTTGAAGATTTCAAATATCTACCCTAGAGAAATTACAGGTGAATTCTGCCTCTCATTTCTCTTTTGTACGTCTGCTTGAACTTCATATCCATTTTTATCATCGCCGTAGACGAATAAGTGCTATGGGTTTGAGTAAATTATTTGATATACTTCTGCTGGAATTGGAGGAAGGCAATTAAAATTATGCCGGCTGCTATTATAGGCGAGTCCGCCATTAATTAAAATTGCGTTCGTATGAACGACAAAGCTGAATGGAAAAGAGTATATATTTGTATCCTATTTCAGGGAAAGTGAGAGACAGAGCTTTAATTCACTTTGAATTTATTTAGAACATGAAATGAACCGTGAATTATGCAGGGTGCTACCTTGATACTTTCATAACAATTTTGCAACTTCTATATTTTCAACACATTACATAGTCATCAACAACGAGTTATTCATTTTCAAAGGAAATTTTAATTCATTTACAAATGACATAATTTGATTGAAGGAAAGGAACAATCAAACAGTATCTTCCCTAACAACACAGGGATGTCATTTTTAAACACCCAAGAATGATATTAATTATACCCAAATCCTAACAAAGTTGTATTTATTCAAGTTTTTGTAGTTAAGTCCTGTTTAGTACATAAATCTTCAGGAGGCATAATAGCCAATCGAGTAAGGTGCGTGCCTGATAAGCTAGAAGCAGAAGGACATCCCTTGGATGCCTTTTTTGGCGGCCAGCGGATGTCCCTGGGACATCCCTAGTATGTACGTTGTCCCGACAAAGGACATCCCTAGGATGTCCTAGTTTAAAATCAGGGACGCCCCTGGGAAGTCCCTAGGATGTACTGGTGTTGTTAGGGTTGGTGTCGATGTGCATGATCAGGATAATTTTCATATGTTTTCATCGAACTCCCGGTATATGTTCTGCTGATATTCTTGTTAAATTGACCATACATCCATCAAAATCACATTGCAGTAATAATTTTCTGCCATAATACTCTCACACGTTTGAAATTCATTTCACTTGATTATTCGGAATGTTCTCTCGTCGTTTCTATTGAATAAAAATACGAGTATTATTTCAATATATGTGTAGTAGGACAAATTATAGATGATTTGCCCCAGAATGTTCCTGCGTTTAACAAATCTTTCAATTAGGGAGCCTAAAACAAAAATCAGCCATTTGCATGAGTCCCTGGAACGAATTTACTTCTAAGCTTTCCTGTATCCTGAAACTAAGTTTGGTACATAGAAAGAATACATAATGGTCTTATGGCAGCTACGTCCCGAATTGCAATGTTTCGTGAAAGAGAAACGTTTTGCACAAAAAATGCCGCTATCCGATGACCTCCCAATTTATTTTTCAAGATTATATTCTGTACTTGTTTAAAAACGAACATGACTTTACAGACAACACCCATACATACCAAAATTATTATAACACCAGATATTTTAACTATTATTACCCCAAACATAGATTAGCTGTTACTGAAAAAAACGTATTATACAACTGTATAAAGTTATGCGATAAGCTACCTGACAGAATTAAATCTACCCTCTCTCAAGGTATTCAAAAAAGAAATCTGGGAACTCCTGATATCTTCGGAACCATACACGGTGGGTGAATATCTAGATCCAGAGTTGGAAACCTACACAACATTCCAAGGGTAAATATTTCATATTGTATGTAACTCAGTTGTCTGAGTTAGTTGTTTTTGTGACGCCTGTTTGTTTTAATAACCTTTTACGGGTTCTGTAGATTTGTATAAGGTTAAAAAACTCTACTGAGAGAAAAATTATGGTCATTCTAAACCATAAGAAGTGCATTGGTAAGCGCCCTCTCATGGCCACAGTGAGAAGGTGTCTGTATTCACATTCCAAAAAACCACCAAATATCAATTTTTGTCGTAAAACGTTCAAAAATGTTCGACTTTCATCATTCAACTATAATTATTTTTTCTCGCTCTTCAGCCGTTATAAATATGTTACTGAATCCAGCACATCACGAAAGTTATTATAATAATCATTGTAGTTCCAATTGTACTGTTTGTTTTTTCCTGACCCTTAACAGGTTTCATTTAGTCTGATGATGGTGGTTGTGCCGAATCTGGTCACTTTCTAATGTAATTTTTATACAGGGTGTTTCACAGGTAAAGGAAAATATTTCAATGGTAGATAGAGGTCACCAAGGTGGTTCTGAAAATACCATATTTGATAGGTCTTAGAGTTTTCATAACGGAGATACAGGGCGATTTATCGATTTCGAATAATTATTCATTCGTCTATAGGTATTCAACTACCTAGTATATTTTTCTAAAATTTGGTATGGAGCTCAAACTTGGGACGTTGAATGCATTCACCTATCGGGCGAAGTGAAAATCCAGGTTCGGCTTCAGGAGAAATTTACATTTATTCGAAATATTAAAATAACACACTGTATGTAATAATTGACGAAGTTCATCAAAGGAATCGTGAAGAGGAGAAAAAACTGAACTGGATTTGATGCTTTTTATTCTCCCGCCACCAATTCTCATCGTAACAATCATAAACTGGAAGCTAAAAGTATGTCAATTTCAAGAGTATTAAAATTATGAAACCACTCTCAATTATGATTATTTGATATATTCTTGTTAAATGATCGTTCGGAAGAACTTACTTAGTCTCACAGTCTTTATAACAGAAATACAGGGTGAATTATCACTCGTCCATAAATATTAAACTACCCATCGCAATAATATTTTCTCAAATTTGGTATTGAGCTTACTTGGGACGATGGATTCATTGAACTATCAGGCAGAATGGAAATACAGGTTCAGCTTCAGGAAAAGTCTCATAGTCTTTATAACAGAGATACAGGGTGATTTATCGAATTATAATTCCGCCTGATAGGTTAATGAATCCATCGACCCAAGTGAGCTACATACCATATTTGAGAAAATGTTACTGGGTAGTTTTATATTTATGGACGAGTGAATAATTATTCAAAACCGATAATTCACCCTGTATCTCCGTTATAAAAACTGTGAGACTTAGTAAGTTCTTTCGAGCGATTTTTTGACTAAAATATATCGAATAATCATAATTAACACTGGTTTCATAATTTCAATACTCTTCAAATTGACATACTTTCAGCTTCCTGTTTATGATTGTTACGATGAGAATTGGTGGCGGGAAAACAAAAAGCATCAAATCCAGTTCACCCGATAGGTGAATGAATTCAACGTCCCAAGTTCAAGCTCCATACCAAATTTTAGGAAAATATACTGGGTAGTTCAATACTTATAGACGAATGAATAATTTTTTGAAATCGATAAATCGCCCTGTATCTCCGTTATGAAAACTCTAAGACCTATCAAATATGGTATTTTCAGAACCACCTTGGTGACCCCTATCTACCATTGAAATATTTTCCTTTACCTGTGAAACACCCGTATAAAGTGTGATCCAAAGACTTGGAGTTTTTTTCTTTCATTTAAGATTAACAAATTATGTTGCATTTAGGCAACATAATCTGGTTCTCGAAATCAAAAGGATTTGTATTCAGATAATCATCAATACACTTGGTGTATTACATACGATAACTTTCTGTAGCACATAGATAGGTTAGTCAGAAACTAATCAACATTCGAATTTCGGCATCAGATGATAACCAGCCTTATGTATTCGATAATCGATCATCGAGGCAATATCAGCTATTAATTAAACTAATTGATTTAGACACCCACCTCTATCGTGATGCTGTCGAGCCAATTCCCATTTACGCACAGGTCGAAACTGTCGATGCCTATGAACCAGTCCGGGGAGGGTACTATACGAGACATCAGAGACACCTGGAATTCGAAACAGTAATTAATAATCATCGATTTTGGCGAGGGCGTTAGCAAAGGTCAATAAAGTCAATACCAAGAGTGTAAATCTGTATTTCATATCGTTACCATAGCTAGTGATTCACACGAGACCAACGAGACGAGACTTCCATAAAGACTCGTCTCGTCTCGCCTATGAAATATGAAGTCTTGTCTCGAGTCTCGTCTCGCAGCCCCGAGTCTCGTCTTGTCTCGCGTCTCGAACGAGAGTCTCGGAAATGTATCGCAATTTCGTCATGCATAATCTTGTTCCAGTTTAGTACGGGATATTTACCTTTACCTACTTTTCAGGTATTATGTACAAGTATAGGAAGAGAAAATTACAACAAGAATAACATTATTTATCGAAAAGTGAGTACCTAATAGGTACATACTTACATCATACATCTAGACAAGAAAAAAAAGCATAGCAATATAATATATTCGAGAGTTAAAAATAAAATGAAAAGTAACACGTATATTCTAAACAAATAAACAAAACAAAAACATTGATCCAACATTATTTTACTTATATTTGGGAAATAGTTATCTAAGAGAATAGTTATTTGTTTTACTAGGCAGAGAAGTAGTCAATCTACATTTGCTGTCGTGTGAAACATAGAATTTTTTGTCCAAATGATATAAAACCAATTTTGTGTAATTTTTTTCTCGAAAACTCCATCATTTTGTTTTCACCCAATGTCAGTGTTAATTTTGATTGACTAATTTCATTATAATTTCTTGGAACGTTGCATAGCATCACACTTTTTCTGCCAAGGCAGTAAAAGCACACCTTTTCTGCCTTTCAAGCGGCATGAAAAAGCCACTAACACTGCCGTTTGGAGAAAAAAACCTTTATCAGTCAGATCAGCCTCCACGATCGCGGATGTTTTTGGTTTTCACCCTGTATGAAGGCGATTCCGATGTTTTCTTATTGAATTATTTCTAAATATGTTCTATTATGAATGAAATTCTCAAGTCTGTAGTCGGCACGCAAAACTATTTACTCTCGCATGAGACACGAGAAATCTTGCACGAGACTCGAGACTAGACCAATAAAAGTCTCGTCTCGTCTTGTTCAAGTCTCGTCTCGAGTCTTGTCTCGAAAACGAGACGAGACCATGCGAGACTCTCGAAAACGAGACTCTCGCGGGCACCACTAACCATAGCAACTAAACAAATTTCTTGGACTTTTTTTCCTCCTCCTCAGGGGACGGAGCATGGATCTACACTGGAAATTTTTTGACGTTCATAGGTTACATGACATTTACATTCAACTTCAGATTATTTCGAGTTCATTCTATGAGTCAATAAATAAAAATCATTTATCAACAGTTTACCATACAATATTATGTAGGTATACTTGCAAATTCGAAATTCACAAAAACACATGTTGTTACTTCTTACATTTCATCACAAACAACCATCATTTTCAACTTTATCATCTAAGTGTTGTTGAAATTCCTTTTTTTTCAAATATAAAGGCGAACATTCACTAGAACGTATAAAATGTCTATGTTTCATGAAATATATGCAGTACTTTGAAACAATATTATTTTGTTGTAACCCACGAAGAGCTCCATATTTTTCACACGGCAGAAGCAATTGATTTTTGATAATCCCAAACAAATTCGGTGAATAAATTATTGCTACGACTATAGTAGATTAGATCGATCGAAAATATATATATTAAACCATAATTAACTTTTTTCTACAAACGTCAAAAAATGACAAGGTTCGCGCATTGATGACAAATTGCGAAGTGACACTTTTTTTCAGTTTCCTACGTTACCATGATTCCTTGCACAAAATAATGCGCGAAGTAAAACAGTGCGCGAAGTACCTACTTCGCGCATTGTTATGTAAACTATATGAGATATTTATATTTCAACTTTATGGTCCTCAATCGAACAGACATCCACAAAATCATTTATTTCTGAATGTTCAACAATAACTTTGTATTTTCTCTTGGAGCGCACGAGAGGAAATTCCTATTATGTTCGTGGAACATCGTGCGTACCTAGGGAGGATAGGGGAAGACCTTTTAAGCCAGTTCAACACTATTTTTTATATCAAGCTAAGCATATTTTCACTTTAGAACTATATTTTTTCACGTTTGTAGAAAAAATTTTGTTTGCAACTCGAGCGCGAAATACTTTGGTCATCTCGACTATTTTTTCAACTCGGCTACGCCTCGTTAAAAAAATCAGATCTCGATCACCAAAGTAGCATTTCGCGCTCTAGATACAAAAATAACTATTCTGTAGAACTTTCATTTAACTAAAGTGGATAACTAAGATATAAGATATTAGGTCTCCTGGAAATGATAGAGAACTTATTATTATACTTTTTTTATATTATTATCATTTTAAATAGCCACCTTTTTCATCATTTTCTACCAACTTTAGTTGAATGAATTTGTGAAATACTGGAAGATTGATTCACTACTGACTTATTTTTCTTCAATTTATTCAACTAAAGTCGTTCAAATATATTTTATTCAACCTAATAATGTTATGCGCGCAAATTTCATGGATAAACTGAATAGTACTTTGGGTTCCTTGCAGGAAAATATATTTCTACCAACTTTAGTGAACTGAATTTGTGAAAAATTTCAAAAGTCAACTACTATCGATTCATTTCTCATCATTTTGTGCAACTAAAGTAGATTAATTGGGTTTTATTTAACCTAACAATTTTATGAATGTGCATTTTATCAATAATAATAATACATTTTTATATAAACACTATGATATTAAACCTACTCTTCAGTTTTGACATGAAGAATGACATACGCAAATAAAAAAAATATATTATTCTTTTGAGTTAACATACCAAGTCTACTATTCAAATGTCAAAACCATCAAAAATCGTCATTATCCGAGTTATTTTTCAATAATATTTCTAGTGTGAAATTTTCTTACCGAATACCACTATAGCTTCAATTAATATCCGGGAATTTTTTTTCGAACACGAATATTTAGAAAATTGTCCCTCGTCTCCGACTCGGTTTCAGAATATTCGTGTTCTCGAAAAAATTTCCGGAAATAATTGAAGCTCTCGTGATATTATAAGTGAAAATGTTGTACCTGTTGATTTGAGCCAATCAGATGACTTGATTTCGATAGGTTGCTATGACGACAACCTGAATTTTCCAAAAAAAAAAGAATTCGATCACCTGACCTACCTGCAAAATTAATAATATCCCTGGCTTGACATCTGTCATGTGTAGATGCCAGAGTAACAGGATATGATTTTTCTTTCTATCTAGTAGTATAAAATTAACTATAGTTTGAAGGAATGTATTCATTTGAGACTCTGATATTCCTACTCACAAAGTGATAAAACTATAATTTTTCAAAATACAATAAAGATATAGGTATAGGTTTATCAATGAATGAGGTACCTACCTATCGTCTAATATGACAGAGATTTTTCCCTATCCCCTATCAGTATTATATTTTCATGTGGTTTTAATAGAATATGATCAACTTGTTTCAAAGATTCAAATCTTGATCTACTAGAGTACAAAGAAATGAGAAAGCCACAAATTTTTTCCTATCCTCCAGTACTATTGATATATTGTGTCATTTTATTAGATCATTCTACTACACCTTTTTCAATTTCAGTTCGGAAAAGGTGAATTGTGTGTTCCAAATTGTCATTTGTCATTTAATAGATACGCGCTCTCAGGGTACGTGGCTCTTCATGTTTATGACAACCCGTTAATTCTCAAGATGTTTCGAACCTAGACAATGATATTATGATGTTGGGTATTGGCACCAACTTTTTAAAAATGTTTAAATCATCATCATCACATCTTTAAAATGGTATGGAGATGACTTCGAGCTTTCCTTCTTTCCTATATATAAGAATTCCACTACACTTTGAGCAAACATGGACTTTTACCAGAGATAATAATAATGATAGAAATTGGGTACATTTTTTCTGTTATCCCCCTCTGTATAATTCGCTATCACTATCGTACACACACATCGAATTGACCTTGTTGACGAACCTTCCGTTTCTGCAAAATTGCAGCACAATAACTCTAGTCTGATTACTTGGAATGAGTAGGTAGTTCAATTGAACGTAATCTTTCACTATAGACCATTCATCTTTCCGAAGAATGCACTTTTCGACAGATAAAGACCAGAGCGAGAGCATCATTCTCGATTATCCATCCATGAATAATCAGTGGCGTCGAGTTTCGTATAATTAGCATTCATCCACAATCACCATATATTCGAAGTTCCATTCACACTCATGAACCGTTAAAAGTACCACTTTATCCACTAGTAGAATGATAATAATTCTCAGATTTCAGTACTTTACTCAAAATGAGTTCGTTTGAATAAATTCATATAACCTGTTTGTGAAAGACAATATTCCTATATCACTGATAGGAATGATTGTTGGACGTTTCAAGCTCAACAAGATCAGAGTTTATACAAATATACTTTTCCACAGCGCAACCTGGTGGTCCAGAGACATATATTGGCCTGTGGATATGAGAGACCAAATTGGTAGTACATGGCTAGAAAATGTTAGCAATCTTTTTTTTTCTCACACAAAAATATAGGTACTTTTATTAGTTTTCTTCATTTATACATCATGAACATGTAACGAAATCATTCAGAATATTCTTAGAATGCAAGAAATATCATTCATTGAACAATATACCTACTGTTAGAAACTGTACTAGTCGACGGTATATCATTTCTGAATGTTTGGGTTTTTCTAGCACCGACTCTCTTTCTGATTTTGGGACGTTTTCTCGATTGTTTCGAAGATGCATTCTTCAACGATGACGAAGAATCTACTGATGACTCACATTGATATTCATCAGAAAGATACACGTCCCCAAACAGTGATTCTCCATCTTGAATGCTTCAGTTTTCGTCTCCATCGGACAACACCCCCTGACTTAACTTCGTCAATTGCTTTTGTTCTTTCTCTCACGAGGACATGATGTGACTCTTGCAGCATCACGAGACAAGTTGAGCCGGTCTGCCGGTTGGTCTCGCGCAGCCGCCTGAACAAAATGGTCGAATGAGGGGTCGTGTGAGACCAATGTGGTCTCCAAAAATTAAGCGCCATTTTCAACCTTCCAAAAATTCCGGCACATCAAAAATGAAAGTAAATATCAACAGTACGTTAGTATCTGATGTTTTCGGCAAAAATAATGTATCGGCCTCTGGAACCGATATTTTTCGATACATGGTGGCACTCAACCTGTTAAGTTCATGTTCTCCTTTTGGATGTTCAACAGATACTATTCAATGTTCGTGGCAAATAGCCAGGAAAGTTGTTGTTTTCTGTTGAATATTCAGAGTGATATTATGTACATACATATTTTTATTTGAAGGAGAATGCAAATTCTCAACTTCAGACGATTTTATTTTCAAATTCTAATCGTGTGTTTAATATATCTAATTCAATGTTCGTCGTAGCATGTTGCCAGGAAAATAGTTGTTTTCTGTTGAATATACCAACAATGAATTGATATTTCCATCACACAGAGAATGCGAATTCTCAAAACAATGCCGTTGCACAACGGAGATGGCTCTACCGCGCTGATTTGGCGTATCCAAATTTTCCATTTCTCTCTGGGGTGTGCTGTCGGTATATCTCTAAAGATAAGAGGCCGGCAGTCTTGGAGGGGAGGGGTGGGACTAGGTCTCACCCGTTGCTACACCGACAACATTACGATTGATTGATGATTGATTCAGTTGTCCCAGGGACATCCCTCAAAGATGTCCCTAGTTGGTATTCAAATCGAATATTTGTGCGACCCACTACACGTCCAATGGACGTCCACGGTACCAAATTCGAACGTCCTATGGACGTCCTGAATGTCCCGACAGGACGTCCCAAGGATATCCATTTGACCTAATTGTGTTATTAGGGATCCACAATCACCAACACCGATATTCTTCACTTCACTTCACAGCCTGCCTCGTTACGCCACTGAGAACTATGGGGATTCTGTTTCAAGCGATTCGCAAGATGAAAAAAACCCTCACCTTGGAATGGTTCCCGTCGACGAAGAACTCCGCCTCCGTACGACCCGCTCCCGTGGGCACTGGCGGCGCGTTGAACTCGTCGTAGACACCACCCTCACCCTGGCTCTGCTCCTCGAGCACGTCAGACCGGCCCGTCTCGACGAAGGCCTTCACGCCCGCCGAGGACCGTCGCCCCAGCCTGAACAGCGTGAAGGATTTGTCGTGGCTGCGACCTGGAAAATAACAGAATTTTAATTTTTTTTCTGATTTTGACCCCCTTGAAAAAAAATTTTGTACGCCACTGGATTTTCTAACAATTCCGCCAATTCAAAATTTTTGTTTCCTCAGAAACAAAAGTCCGTTGCGCTACTGATGAATTATCGAATTTCCTACGTTTTGATATTCAGCACTGGATTCGGTGCGCCACTGGGGTATTTATGTCAAAATTCAGATGTTTTTACATTTTCGACCCCCTCTGAAAAGATTCCGGTGCGCTACTGAAGTGATTATTATCATCAAAATTTCAACGTCTTCATGTCTTTGACCTCATTAAAAACAAAATCTAGCACGTCGGAATGGCTTGTGTCGGCCTGATCAGCGTGAATGATTTGTCATGGCATGGAAACAGCATTTTTAGATTTTTTCTGATTTTGACCCCCTTGAAAAAAAAATTGGTACGTCAATGGATTTTTTTAACAATTAAGCCATTCTCATATTTTTGACCCCCTCTGAAAACTTTCCGGTGCGCTACTGAAGTAGTTTTAATCAAATTTTCAACGTTTTCATGTGTTTGACACATCAGAAATAAAGTTGAGCACGACTGAATGACTAGTTTTGACGAAGGCCTTCACGCTCGCCGACGATCGTTGCCCCAGCCTGAACAGCCTGAAAAAGGAATAACAGCATTTTTAGATTTTTTTCTGATTTTGACCCCCTTGAAAAAAAAATTGGTACGTCGATGGATTTTTCAACAATTCCGAATTCCGCCATTCTCATATTTTTGACTCCCTCTGAAACCTCTCCGGTGCGCTACTGAAGTAGTTTTAATCAAATTTTCAACGTTTTCATGTTTTTGACACATCAGAAATAAAATAGAGAACGACTGAATGGCTTGTTTCGACGAAGGCCTTTACGCCCGCAGAGGACCGTCGCCCCAGCCTGAACAGCGTGAAGGATTTGTCGTGGCTGCGACCTGGAAAATAACAGAATTTTAAGATTTTTTCTGATTTTGACCCCCTTGAAAAAAAAATTGTACGCCACTGGATTTTCTAACAATTCCACCATTCAAATATTCTTGCCACCTCTGATAAAAGGAGACATACTCAGTCTTTGGACTTTAGTTGAGAGTTCTATAGATGCTACCAAATTGCCAAACAACGGTGTGTTTCCGATGCGCTACTGATGTATTATTGAATTTCCCACGTTTTTTGATATTCAGAAGTGAGTTCGGTGCGCCACTGGGGTAATTTTGTCGAGATTCAGATATTTTTTATATTCTTGACCACCTCTAAAAAGAATCGGGTGCGCTACTGGAGCATTTTTATTCAAAATTCCGAAGTTTTTATGTCTTTGACCCCATTAGGAACAAGATCTAGCACATCAGAGCGGCCCGTCTCGACGATGGCCTTCACGCCCGCCGACGAGCGCCGCCCCAGCCTGAACAGCGTGAAGGTTTTGTCGTAGCTGCGACCTGGAAAAGAGATAACAGAATTTTTAGATTTTTCCTTCGACCCCCTCGAAAAAAAATTTGGTTCGTCACTGGATTTTCTAACAATTTCGTCATTCAAATATTTCTGCCATCTCAGGAAATACGCTACTGATGTATTATCGAGTGTATTATTGAATTTCCCAGGTTTTGTTATCTGCGAGCCACTTAGGCTATATTTTTGACCACCTCTGAGAAGATTTCGGTGCGCTACTGAAGTAGTTTTAATAAAAACTTCAACGTTTTCATGTTTTTGACTCTATCAGAAATGAAATCGAGCACTTCGGAATGGCTAGTGAAGGATTTGTAGTGGCTGCGAAAATAACAGAATAGTTAGATTTTTCTATTTTGACCCCTTTGAAAAAAAATGGTACGCCACTGGATTTTTTAACAATTCCGCCATTTTGAAAGTTTGTTGCGCTACTGATGTATTATCGAATTTCCTACTTTTTGTTATTCAGAAGTGAGTTCAGTGCGCCATTGGGGTACTTTTGCCAAAATTCAGATGATTTTATATTTTCGACTTCCTCTGAAAAGATTCCGGTGCGCTACTGAAGTGGTTTCAATCTGGATTTCAACGTTTTTATGTCTTTGACCCTATTAGAAACGAAATCTAGCACGTCGGAATGACTCGATTCGACGAAGGCCTTCATGCTAAACAGCGTGAAGGATTTGTCGTGGCTGCGATTTGGTAAAGAAATAACAGGATTTCTTTATTTTTCTGTTTTTAATCCCCTTGAAGAAACAATTGGTACGCCACTGGATTTTCTAACAATTCCGCCATTCAAATATTTTTGCCATCTCAGGAGAAAATACGATGCACTACTGATGTAGTATAGAATTTTCCACGTTATGATATCGGTGCGCCACTGGGGTATATTTGACAACATTTTTATATTTTTGACCCCCTCTGAAAGGATTCCGGTGCTCTACAGAGGTAGTTTGAATCAAAATTTCAACGTGTTCATGTTTTATGACCCATATTTTGATTTTTTTCGTTCTTGAAACGCTATTGTATTTTTCAGAAATTGTGTTATTTTTATATTCTTGACCCTCTTAGAAAATAATCCGGTGCGCCACTGAAGCATTCCAGATCGATATTCCGACATTATATTTTCACCCCCTTCGAAAGAAGTTCAGTGCACAACTGGTGAATATTTGATTGAAATTCCAACGTTTTTATATTTTTGACTCCAATAAGAATATCCTATGCGCCACTGAATTGTTTTGAAAAAAATTTCAACGTATTTATATTTTTGACCCTCTTAGAAAATAATCCGGTGCACCACTGATGAATTTCAAATCGAAATTCCAACGTTTACATATTTTTGGTACCAAAAAAAATCTGGTGCGCCACTGAAGGGTTTTGAATCGAAATTTCAACGTTTTTGTAGTTTTGACCCCATATCAGGAGAAAATGTTAGTACGTCGGAGTGTCATGTCTCCTGGACCTGGAGCGAAATATATAATTTTTTAATTTTTGACCCCTTCAGAAAAAGTGGTATGCTACTGTTTTTTTCTTTCAAGGGATTTTGTTGATTCCATATTTTCGACCATGTTAGAAAATAATCTGGTGCGCTACTGAAGTGTTTTAAGTCTAAATTCCACATTTTAATTATTATTATATCTGAATATATGAAACGAGAAGCCTCATCGGAGACTCGATTCTCAGTTGATATATTTGAGTTCCATGCAGGAGAATAATATTGGAAAATAGAAGGAGATTAAAAAAAAATACTTAATAACTGAGACAATCTCTAAAGACAGAAAGAGAAGAGAATGATAGAAGACATCACTGACTGGAAAATTCAGGGATTCCAAACGTCAACCAAACTTGTTGAAATTCGTTTAATCAAAAAAACTACTACAAGGTGCTCAAATTGTGATGTTAGATTCCAAACAAAGTGTTTCATCATGATGTATTATCAACGAACATACAACATATAAACAGTTTCCATTGTTATCCCTATGTGCCTACTGTCCTAAATATAGGACGGTCAGAGTTTTTTATCTCTAAATGAACAGAAATAATAAAATTCACACACCCCATTTATTTTGATCTCAGTAAGCTGAAATATGGAGCATTCGAAGTTCTGAATACCTCGAGAAAAAAAATAGGCATACCATTCAATTCAAATTATTCTAAATGATATTACGAATTCTTTTACAAATGTGGGCCATCTATCAACGATTTACCCTATTCACTTCTATCCAAAGGTGGTTTCCAAGAGCATCGGAAGGAAAACTTCCTCATTGTTCCCTCTCCCGTCTGTTCTTCATAGACGCGATGACAGTAAATTCAGTCCAGATAATATGATGCTATCGTGCAAAAATAACATTCCCGATCTCGTTAATTTTGAATATAATTAGCAGACGGTCCAATTAAGGGGTTAGAATTTTCTAATCGTTACATCGGCCTTAATTAAACTGCTTCGTTAGTATCCAAGTTGAGAGAAGTGCTGAAATGAAATTCCATCACTTTAGATATGAGTATTTCAACGAAAAATCAGAACTCCAAAACGATTTGGTTGGAATTGACGTTTATCTCATTTTTTCTGCAGGCGTCTCGAATATAAAATATTATATTATTACACTGGGTGACACAGGAGACATGTGACAGCCTGTAGTTTTTTCATTTGGAGAGATAAAAATTTGAAATTTACCAGGGTTATATCATCGATGATGGCGCTTTTTTTGAACCCAGTGATAATTTTCTTCAACCACCTGTTTGATCGGAAGTACACCCAACTTTTTTTTTCCAATGGCATCCTGTATACAGTGTGTCCCACTCACCATGCTCACCATGGGTATCTTTTTAACGGTGAGAGATACGAGGTCGGTTAAATGACACCAAATGTGGAGTTTGTCAAGGCCAACTATAATGTGAAAAAATATTTCGATAAAATCTATTCGTTTTTGTTTTATACGCAAAAAACAGATTTTGATCATTTTCATGTCTCCTCCGTAACTTCTTTATTCATGAAAATATTCAAATAGGAATTTCACATTCTCATGGCAGTTTTTCACAGTGATTTCGAAAAAAATATGAAATTTATACCAACTCTTCTAGAATTTGAGATATCAGCACCAACTTTAGTTTTTCAAATGTAGGTCATAGCTCACTATGACTTAGTTACAAATAACTTTTTTTTCTCTTCCAGATGATATATCGCAGTAATAGTTTTGTGTTGATAACAACGGAGCTATCGTCATTTATACAAGAACAAAAAATTATTTGGAAGTCGCCATCTTGAATTTATAAATTTTAACAGAAAAATCATGATCTCCGACCTCAAAAACCCCCACTTACCAATTTTGAATGGAATCGGACCAAATCTTGTCCGCCATCTTGGAGCAGCCATTTTTTTCAATTTCAACAAAAATTCCATAACTCCGATTAACTTGAAATTCGACAGGTGTTCATAATTTCGGTGACAATACATTATAGAACTCCTGACAAGCT